ATATTTTGTTATTGTAATTGTTTTGCTGTAAACTTTTTAATTTATCTCACTCCTAAATATTTACAAACAGCAGTCTTTCAAAACAGCTTGAGTCGCATGTTTGGAAATGTATGAGATATAATGAAAGTGAAAAAGTTGAGAAAGAGCAATTGCCAAGAACTGGAACAAAGGCCCTTTTGTTTGCCCCTATCCACCTGCCCCATGTTTAGCCTCTGTGTAGTGCAACAGCAAAGATAGAAACAACAAGATCTGAAATTCCTCCAAACCACCATTTTACATTTAATACCACCACAGCACATGGCAGTGTTCATTACACAATCATCATAAAATGTCAACACATACACTCAAACGTTAAACTGAATGACATGAACTCCCAAGAAAAGTACCACTTTATACACAGATATTCAGCTAAAAGTACTCTTTAGTGTAATATTCATCACAGTTACATACCCATAGTGGGACTGTCAAGTTTATTGCAACAGTTACTATATGAAAGCACAATTATATAACAAAGAGTCATACTTATACCAGTGTTGTGTCAATGTAATAGACAAAACAAATGAAAAAGGCACCTTTTATTTTATAAACTGTTATAACCCTGATTACGTATATCCATTATAATCTAAAACTAACTGAATAAACCTGCAACCTATTGTAAATAACAGTGATTCTATACCTCATAATGTGATGATCTATCTGCCATGGTCTTTCTAGGAATGTGCATAATATAAAGGCATCTCATTTGAACACACACCTAAATCTTTTTTTTTTTTTTCAAGTTGCTAGATGCTGGGCTATAACTGGAATTAGTTTTATAATCACAGTGATCTATATAAAATAATTTGTTTCACACACATTCAACAATAAGCACACAACTTGATAAAATATAATATATTTCTGTATAGCTAAAACTCTATAAGCACTATTTCATGGCAGGCATAGTGGTTGGCACAAAAAATACTTGTTGTAAATTATTACTGCTGCTGGTGGCAACATAAGACAGAACAGTAATCCTTAAAAAATAAATTATCTAAATAAAAGCTTTTATATGGAAGGTGCTACAGCGACTTACTGAATAGCTTTTGAGTTTAAGTATTTTTGGGGATTTCTCAGTAAGGGCTTTCATCAAAATATAATGGCTTATTCGATCCTCTCTGTAATTTCACAGTTAATTGCATAATTTTCTTCTGGCTATAATTCTGACAAAATAAATTATCTTTGAGTAATTACTGCACCATTGGATTACATTCATCCATCCAATCTCCACTTTTAATTACATATAATAATACAGTTAAACAGGAATGACTGCTGTGTTCAAGTATGTTTGTGGAAGGGAGCTGTGACCTTCCATTCATGTTAATACTAAAGACGGTTTAGCTGCTTCAAGTTTACTCAGATGTGCTCAGTCTGTCTTCCACACTGCGTTGAGAATCTTCACCACCTCCTCGTAGATGATGAAGACAATGGCCACATCCAAACAAACGCGGCCCAAACGTGGAATTGTGCCTTTATAAAACCTACAGAAAACAGAAAACAACATACATGAGCAAGTTATAGATTTGCACAGAGGTGGGTGGCGCATAGCCACGGCAAGTACTCGGGTAAAAGTACAATTAATGGAAAAATAGTATTACTTAAATTGAAGTACAGATTGCACCCTTTATTTCATTTTTGATAATATTTGGATTTGACATTTAAGATGGTAGGTTTAAAAATATGAAATTGTAAAGGAAAAAATTGTGATCTGTAAATCTTGTATGGATATACTCATTAAAAATATGTATTTTAAAAAAGTATGAGTAAGGATCTAATATCTGATTTATACATAAGTTAAAAGTTAAAATGTGAACATTTAATATATCAAATAGAGAATTAAAAGAGCTAAAGTGGTGAAAGAAACATTAAAATGAAATCATATTCAGCATAAAGCTTTTGACACTCAGTAACTCAAACCCCTCCCAAATGACCCAATTAAAACATTATTTGTGTAGTAAAAGTTAAACTTGAGTAAGACCCACCAATCTAAGTTATAATAAAATGTTAAGATTACTTACGCCAATGGTCCTTCATGCCTCATTATCTTAACAGCACAATCCAGGGTGCTCTTATATTTGTGTGCCTCTAGACCCTGTACAAAAGGAGAAACAGTGTTAGCTCAGAACATACACGTAGTAGTATATATACACATACTGTATATGTACATTACTTTATTTTTTACTTTATGATTAAAATATACCTGCATCCTTGTCTTGATAACATCTAATGGAGTGTTCCCAAAGACACTAGCGGCTCCTGCTATTGCTCCAAATGTACCAGTCACTAAGGGGTTAATGGGTTTGTTTGGGTTGTCACCTAATGATGAAAAATAAATCAAGAATCAAAAGTTAATTATTTAGTGATAATAACATACTGATATTGAAGGCGCAATATGTAACTTTTCTGGTGGGGAATCTGTCACATGCTTTTAGAGTGTTCTTCAGTATGGCAATAAACATCTTTCTTGCATTTTGGCCTTGTGGTGTCGCCTGCTTGTCTCCATGGAGATAGATCAGTTTGATGCCATACTGTGGAACATTATTCCACATGAAGAAATAACATCAAGGGGACAAGCAGGTGCCGGACCCTCCAGAAAAGTTACATAATGCCTCTAATTTCAATATTATAAAATAACAGCACAATTTCATTAAAACATTACCATAGAAATTAATATGGTATCAATAAATAATCACATTCCACAATTCCACAATATAAATTATTCATGATCAAAAATATTAAAATTGTGACAGACCTTTGTACCAGTTCTTTAGAAAAGTCATGACTGAGAAGCGAATAGCCTGATTGGACCCCTGTTTGAGGACAGTAGCAGTGAGGCCTTGGTATGTCCCCCTCAATCCTAAAAGATCAATATAAACGGGAATGAGTGTTTATCTACCGTAATTGCACAGACTACTTAAAGAACACTGCGTTACACCGCTACACCAGCAGAGTGCAGCAGCTGTACACATTTACCTTGTTCCTTGACAATCTGGCTAACTCCGTGGAAGAAACCCTTGTATTTGGGATTGGCTGATGTCTGGTCATGGATGAATTTTACCTTGAGAGAGAAATCAGGAACAGAAAACATAAAAGTCTATGCAAACAAACCTAATTATCAGAGCATAAACTTGTCCAAATTGTGTCCTACTTGGAGACAATCCAATCCAAGATAAAGTGGACTTGTTATGTCTTTGTCTTGGTATTATAAATCAGTCTTGCATGTTAAAATGTTTTGCTTGTCCTTGTATAATTCTTTTGTGTTTAAGTTGATAAATGTTGGCTTGTCAGCTGAGCTCCCTGCCAGAGTGAACAGTAGGCCTATTAAGAACCAATTAGTTTGATAAATCATTAAAAATGTAATCTAATAAAACAAAACATTTTTAAGTAGCCTTCTCAGCGTCATATACAGTTATTGAAGGATGACAAACCTTGACAGTCTCCATGGGACAGACCACTACCACTGCCTCCATCACACCAGCTCCCAGCCCACACAACAGGCCTTTGGTAGGGTCCAAACGGCCATTCTCATCTTTGGCATGATTACTGAGGAACTCAAATACCCCAAATCTGAGAAAATAAAGATTATTAACACAAGTTAGGAACTGATGGTGCACAGACATAGACAAAAATTTACTTTATAAACACTGCAATTTTCATTTTCATTGTGATAATCTACTTTTGTAGCCACAGCTGCCATGAGACGAAGAGAACGGTGTGGCTTGAACATGATTTGAACCAGCAGCTTTTTGATTAAAGGGTAATTACCTTCTCCTCCAAGCAATTATGACAATTAATGCTAAATACATGTTATACATTATGCAAAATATTATTTAAGAATGAGTTTCCTTGTAAGTACAGTACACCTTTTTATATAATTTTGCACTGACCCTAAAGCTACATTATTCCTTTAAAATGTTGGGTAAATTTTTTTTACTAATTATGCATAGATAAATAGGAGGAGGTGGAGTTTATATATCTTGCAATCAGAAAATGTTGTGTCCTTTACAGGAAAGGTTATTTATAGATGCAATTGAATTGTGGCTAGAGCCTGTAGTGAAGGGGTGGGGGAGGACACTTGGCTTGATGAATGCTTTGTTTTCTCTTCTGTCTCAGTCATTTTTATTCACCTGTTCCTGTCTCAGCTCCTGTCTATAATTCATCGGTTTCCTTTAAAGTTATTGTACATATCCTTCAACTCCATATTTAATTTGCTTTGAACACAAACTGCACTTGGTCCAAAACCAGCATTCAGAGCCCACAATGAAAAGCTATTATTTTGTGTACTATGATGACTTACTAAGCAAACAGCTTCAAGTAAAAGATTAACTCTAAAACAGCTTGTCTACAAATGCTTTTCATTAGCGTTGGAGGAAAATACGCTGATGCCAGTTGTGTTTCTTTGCCAAAGTAATTTCTCCTTTCACTGTCCAAATGTGTTCTTTATACTGGAATTTTGGTTGACTTCTAGGGTGAGGTTAAATTACGATATGGATATGGACACTAACATAGGGTCATAGGGTGGAAACCACTTTCACTTTTTGATATCTTTAGCAATTTTTATGTCCGCACTACAATTTTGTTGTTTATTTAGTGAAAGGAAATTTGTTTATTCAATACTCCTGACATATTAATTGTTTTCATGATTAAAATAGATTCATGTATTTCATGTAAATTTTTTAACAAGTTTTAGTTTAAGAAAGAAATGTTGTTGCTAAAATGTATTTAGTTTTTTAAAACAGCAGTATATCACAGAGTATCATTTGCAATATATCGACTATTGCATGTATTGCCATAACATGCTAATATCCATTATAGTATTGACTATCGTATCAAAGCGTGAGGTACCCTGTGATTCCCAGCCCAATTACAGACTAAGCTTTGGGGACATGAGCCAGGAAGAGGGGAACATGACAGAAAACGTAGAGTTAAAAAGATAAAAAGGTCGACCCTCTTAGCACAGCCTCCTCTGTGCTCCTCTGCGGGCAATCAGTTAATGGAAGGAGAGAGAATGGGAGGGGACACAGTCACACAGCAGAGGAGAATGGATCGAAAAATGGCCCCCACAAAATGGTCAGCAGAAACATGACAAGCTTTTGGACATATTTCAAAAAGAATCACCTCACTTGGTCATGAAGAGTGTCCTTCTTTGATTGTCCTGTCATTTCAATATAAAATTCAATAGGGAAAGTAATTAATTTCTAAAAGTAGCATCTTTTTAATCTCTTATTTGCAGTGTTATCATCATTCCTGCTATATTTATTCCTACTCTTATCTTTTTTAATCAAATAAACATTTTAAATATTACTCTTTCTGTTGTGTGCATTTCTGTTCTAATTGCATTCATTTAGCCGGTTTGTTTTATTGACCTAAGTGGCAGTTTCCTTGTAGGGATGTTGAGATTAATTGGTTAATATGAATCTATAAATGTGATTATTTACGCCATTTCAGTAGAATCTATCTATAGTGCAAATCTATCTGCTTATGTCACATTAACTTTTATTTTTCATTGAAAAAGTTTGATTTTATAAACCAAGACTTTTGCTGCTGTTTTTTTTTTTTTTTTCCTTCAGAGAAGAGGGGTTTCAGGACAGGGTCTGTCCTGGGACAGTTTTAAGTTTGCTTATTTCCTGTGAATGTTGGTCAATCTCTCTGTTATTAACAACTGACTGTTTCACTGTTTGATTTTCTAACCTTTCTTTGGTTAAATCAACAATTTTGTCAAGCTCTGCCAGACAGTTGAAATTTAATGGGCATCTTTTAGATAATGGGGATGATTCTTTTCACCAAACATTAAAATGTGTATTTCTTGACAGGACAATGAGGTTTTACATGCAAAATGCTCTAGGGCTGAAAATGACTAAAAGAAAGTTTTAGTTGGGCCTGACAAAATCTCTCAAAACTATTATTATGTATTTGACCCAAACTGTAATCACAAGACTACAACTGCACAGGAACTCAAACAAAAAATATGTTCATGTAAATACTAAGAAACAAAGTATTTACAGTATATATATAATATATAAGACAAGTTAAACTTGTAATTTATCATGAGATACATCTGCCTTTTTACAAATAAATTCCAAAAAATACCAAATCAGCTAATTCATTCACTCACTAACTTCTAATACACATTTTGGTCAACTAAGACTCCACTGACCCATTAATCGATTAAACAAGTCAAAGCTTACATCTCTACTCTGCACATTTATTTTATTTTGACCTAAGAGGCAGTTCTCCCACAGTTGACAGTTAAGTCATTTCTACAGTAAAATATTGTCCCCATCTCCACCAGAGTTCACAGTGGTCACTCTATTGAGACTCGGCGTCACTTTGAGTGGCATTTTAGCTCCGCCTGAATGAGCCTGTCTCACTATAGAACAGACAAGCTTGTACCCTCCAGCACCACACACACACACACACGCACAAGACACATACACACACATACAACACACACACACACACACAACACACACAACACAAAATAACACAACAACAGACTCATACAAAGACTGAAGAATAAAGGCTTTCTTATTGGTGCACTACCACATGCACCACCACGAGCACGCTCAAGAGAAATGCCACTTGAATGAAAAATAACATAATTATACCGGAGGCTACGCTGGCATTTAGGCAAAGCATTGTGGGTAATAGAGTTGAATAATTGGAGCTAGCAGTTCCAGGTACAGGATCATAATGGCATTGAGCTAAGAGCTGTCATTTGGTCACACTTACTGTAACACACACACGCCCACACTACACCAGTCTGAGTCTACTGAGACAATATAGGTTTTTCATTAGATTGTTGTTAAAAGAGATTATGCTTGGTATGTAAACACAATAAAGACTAAATGTGGGAGGTAAGCAGAAAACATTACAACAGATAATATTTGGCCCTCGCCACTAACAAAGTTAGTTTAAATTGATGTTTTATAGATATATGCAAAATTGTAAACTGAAGCATGTTGTCAATAAAAGTGTCAAAAAGCTGACGAGAAACAAAGAGGATCAAAATTGGCAGTGTAATCTTTCGAAAAAAAGTGTATAGTAACATTTGGGTTTAATTTTACAGTCCATACAGTCCACTTTTCTGTGTAATACACTTAAACTGAGACAATTCTAAGCACATTTTCACAGATTTTGGAGAAAGAAATATTGATATATTATTTTTCATCAACAGTGTTTTCCATTTTTGTTTAACTCAGACTATGGTGGCATAAATACTTTCTAGAAACGAATAATTTATTTTGTATATTTTGAATTTAATGTCACCTACTGCCCAGCCTTTATGAAAATTACTGCTTTTTATGTGAATGACAATATAAGGAGAATATAAGTACAATTTTGTTATGCCAGTGTTTAGTCCATGTTCTTTTTAGACTCTGGGGGAGAATTTTAAAATATGAGGGGGCAAGCATAGGCTATTCTGTTAATAAGAAGCACTGCATTACCATACCCTACTATACTTACTGTATTTTATGTTGATCCAAAGCAGATCATTTGGGGTCATTTAAGGTTGTTTACATGAAATTTGTTGAAAAAGATTCATTAGTACCTTCATATACGAGTAAACGATTGTTTCTCTAATGTATGCGTTAGTGATTGTTAGTGACAGAGTGTGACAAACCTGACTGCAGACTTGGGTATTGATCCATAGAGCAGTGAGCTGAGGCCTCTGTACAACCCTTTAACGCCATGACTCTGCACGGTCTGCTTTACACAGTCACCTCCACAAATCACAGCACAGCAAAAACAAATGAGTATTTTTATTCAGAAAATAAATTAAAGTGCACATAACAGGTTTTCATGCTTCTCTAATCAGTAGGCTACTTGGTTTAGTGGGATAGAACATGTGGTAGATATTTTTCATCAGTCAAGTGTTAGGAAAAAAGTTCAGAAGAAAACTACGAAAATACAGGAAGCAGTAGTGAGTTCAAATGGAATACCTCTATCTATGTCCTATGTCTTTATCTATGTCTACCTATGAAAATTCCATCCAAAATGCTTCATTTAACAAAATAAATACCATCGTCGTCATTTGTTTTTATGAGTCTAATCATAACCATTGTACAAATTAGACATGCGGTTGCTAGGTAACAGTCAAGGAATTACCTGTACGTATCTGCTCCCTGTGTCTAACCAGTAGCCAAAGTAAAATTATTTTTTAATGCTTTTTTTTATAAGTTCTTTCATATAATTTGATGTGAACTATGTTTTAGTGAGATGTGTATCCTAATTCATGCACTTTAAGTTTAAACCTCCAGTTGTAGCATTTCTTTCAAGTTTCCAGGAGCACTCAAGTACGGTTTTAGTGCACCTTAGTTAACGGAGCAGAGACGCAACAGCTGTCTCCGGTTCTCATTACTGCAGACTGAGATACGCACACTCCTGCACTTCCTCTTTGCATGTGTATTGATGGTGCTCGTGTGCACTGGTCTGTTTTATGTCATATAAACAAGAATAGTGACAGCCTGCCAGATTCCCTAATGTAGCTAGGGATGATGGGTAATTAGATAATGAGCTCCTTGGAGAAGCAGGGGATTGGAAAAAGAACAGACAGAGATATGGAGGACAGTACGTAAGTAAGTAAGTTTTTATTTATATAGCGCTTTCACAGACATATGTCACAAAGACGTTTTTTACAGATCATTATTCATTCATTCGGTGGTAGCAAGCCACAGCTGCCCTGGGGCAAACTGACAGAAGCACGGCTGCCAATTTGCATCATCGGCCCCTCTGACCACCACCATCACTCACGTACACATCACTTTCATACTAGGCAATGTGGGTAAAATGCCTTGCCTAAGGACACTATGACAGTATTTGCAACTGGCGGCCCACTGAGGCATCTGATTTTCCCAGCAGTGTCCCATCCAAGTACTAACCAGATCTGACAGGATCAGGCTTTGACAAGCTGGCACTCACCTATGCCCCTGTATTTGGGTGGGTTGGCTTTTTCATCGAGCTGTAACTGAGTCTTCACGTACTCTGTGGGGAAAGTAATGCAGATCTCTATGCCTCCTGCAATCCCACCTGTAAAACAACACATCGCCTGATCAGTAAAGGAAACAACAAACAACAGAAACATTTTAACAGTGTCATCATTGGGTAGAGTTCATTAAGTACATCCTGGTTTGTACTAATATGCACTTAGAGTATAGTAGAGTACTATAGAGTTGTCAAAATGTATACCCAGATACAGATCAATATTAAAACCACAACAAAAACTAGACTCATTGCAACAAGCATCGACACTGAACAATATCACATAAAATTTACTTTGACCTGTCCTGAACAGTTTTAGAATAATCTAAATACATTTCAAATGTTTAAGAAAGAACAACTGAGACTCTACATGCTTTTTACACCATGTGTGACAGCAAATGCAGCAGAAGACCTTCCAGAGGAAATACCTTGAGGACATTAACCATTTCATCATTAGCTGAAACAACAAAGTGGAGGGCCACAGAGGAGGGTCACTTTTGGCTCCTCCTGAAATTGCCCTGACACAGATCTGCTCACCCTACCTGCTATAAAGTATCTTTCTCTCTCTTATTTTGTGAATAAATTACATGTTATTGTCTATAAAAATATTCATTGTAGTATTAACATTTTTATCTAATCTTTATCAAAATCAAATATGAATTTCTATTGTGACAACTGTGGCTTCTGTTAGCTTAATTAAAAATCACACCAAAACCTGGGTTACCATTTGTCATGGGAGATCACATCACAGAGAGGCATTTGGTTTATACCTTTATGCCCCCTCCAAACAGTGTATGAGTGAAGCTCTTGTTCCCTCTTCTGCCAAAATTATAAAATTTGGTAGTAGTTTTTCTGAAATAGAACTTCACAGGTTCATCTCAGTACTTGTCTAAAGCTGTCTGATTTAAAGGCCTTTGAATAACAAGCAGGAGGAGGAGACATTACGTCATGGGTCATTTCAGTTGGTCCAAATGGCTCCAGCTCAATAAACACTAAGAGCTGCTGCTACTGAAAGAGGAACGTAATATGACAAAGAACTACATGAGAATAACTGTAGACATAGAGAAATGAATTATGCACAAATGTATTACTAGAAGATTACAGTCAGTCAAGTTATTGCTGATCAAACGAATAGTGTACATCAAATGTCCTGCAGAGGGAGGTCAGTGGGAGAAGCTAACATTAATTAAATTGTCTGCGTCACAAGGCCAGGACCCTCCATTAGCTCAATGAAACAGCACAGTGTCCAGGAATTCTCAATGCCAGGCAACTGTTTTATATTTACAATGAAGCTAAAATAGTATACTAGCTTTGAGAATATACAGGTCAATAAGTAAATATAAATCATGCATATTTATGTCAGTAGTTTAAGAAATGTAATGCTTCGTGCTGCAGTGATGTTCTCATGCTGGATAAGAGCCATTTCCTCCAAGCCTCATTTGTTAGACAGGCCTAAAAGCCTCTTTATCAGCAAGAGCCAATAATTTAATAAAGGAAATCAATAGAGCAAAATGGCTTTTACTTTGGAGCCAGTATAGGCCTATTTCCATTAAGGTGTTTTTCTATTATCTGGCACAAATATACTATATTGGCTTGTTTATCATTTACATTAAATTAGAAAATGCATTAATATGTGTGTATATTAATCAGGAAGAAAATTATTTATTTGACAATACTACACAATTTAATAAAAGATAAAATTTAATAAATGATAAAATTGCTACAAGACTACGAACCCATGATTTGACTTAGCTATACCACAATGACAGCAAAAATATTAATTTAACAAATCCAAAAATTGTAACTGAAAATGTTTAAACTGGATCGCACAATTTATTTATTATGTCAAAATCTGGTCTTGTCTCATTCTCTTGGGTCAAATCTCATCTTGTCTTGCTAATTACTATAAATATCAACTTATTATGGGGATCAATAGTTATCATATGTACTTTTCTTTGCCCTAGTGAGAACCTTTTGGTAATTTTTTTGCATTACAATAAGATTTGAACTGTAGAGGTATGAACTGATAATGAAAGTGATTAATTATGCAATTTATTTATTGCAGCTCATACATTTGAACAATTTAGAATTATTATTATTATTATTTTTTGGTTTTGGTCTGATTTTGTGTTATCGTGTGAGTCAGCTAAATTAGATTCAGTATTATCATTTATCGTCTATATTTACTTCAGTAATATATCACACTTCAAAATGTTTTTATCGTGACAGGCCTAACCCTACTAGCCTGATTCATCAGCCGGTTTCACTTCATGGAAACTGTCTGACCTCGCAGCATTAGAATTCGTTCGCTCGATGGTAGGCGGGTACTTTTTTTATTTAACTAATTGCTGCTAATTAGTTATGACGTATGTAATGCGCCGCTAACGGGGCAAACTGGTATTAAGCTTTTCCCAAATCCTGTAGGAAGAAGAGCAATAACGTCTTTCCCCTTGATAAAATTCACCAAACATTCTCTTTGTCCCGGCTTTAAATCCTCGATCTCAGGAATTGTTGCCAACACAGACTGTATGGCTTTGTCTACATCCATCTCGACCGCTTTGTTTACTGTTTTGCTGTACCACAAAAGGGACCCAGGCAGGCGCTTGAGTTTGACGTCATGGCTTCACAGCTCTTCACTGATTGGCAGGTGCGTGGTCTACAGCTTCCAGGGTTCTTGCAAACCATCTAATGTATTCCGATTCCTAACTTAGTTGCTGGAAATGAAATTGAGAAGGCACTAGGTGGCATCAACCTGGCTATAGCCCAAGCAGATTTGAGACAAACACTAAAATAACCCCTACTGTTGTCAACTGATTATTTGTTAGTATGAATTTGACTATACAATCCATTCAATGAGCCACAACATTAGTGACCACATCCTATACTGTAGTGTACCACACATGTGCTCTCCTTCCTCTATAACACATGCAGAGCTGATCACCAACATAAATCAAGACTGATCTATAGTGCTCCAGACCATTACCGCCAGCACCAGCAGCGTCAGTGGGTTAGTGCGTTTTGGTGAAGAAACTCCTCGCGCCTCTCATTTGTTACAGACTGTAGTATAAACCCAGGCAGCAGGACCACAAACACCTGATCAATCCTCGTCTAAGGCCGACCCATGCTGCTTGTTTGTCTTCTGCTCCATTTTGCAGTCTCCTCCTCGGCAACACGCCCTCTTAAAAATGACATTGTAAATGAATTGGGAAAACCTGCCAAACATGGCTTCAGACTGGAAAGACCATTAATCTTTATCTTCATAGTCTGGTCCTATCTCCCTTTCCTAATTTTTCTCACTGTCCCTATTGCTCGTAGCTGCCAGCTTCTCTTTGCCACTGTCATAAAATCAATCCTTCCAAATGCATACTTGGCACTTCCAATCACAGGAGGAGGGACACAAATGGTATTGCCCAGGTATTTGGAGTGAAGGAAATCTGTTTTCTTTTATGAGCTTTTCAGGTGAGGTATTTTACAGTTTTCACCAATGTTATATTTTATACACATACACAGTGTGAAGAAACGCATTGAACACAACAATACACGGTGTGAAGAAAACAACACAACAAGCAGGAAGGCCTAAAACTGGCTATGAAAACTGCAATTTGACGTGTTTTAATAAGCAGACGTATCTAAATTCTAACACTTATTTTAACTGAATAACAGATTAGATTTGAACCAACTCCTAAGTTTTAAATACATTTTAAAAACCCAATTGTGTAAACTGCAATTTTAACTGGATGTGTTTGAAGCATAGACTATATATATAAATGGACATATCTAAGATCACAGCTATGATTTGGAGTTGGATGTTGTTTTTGTTGAGCATATCTGAAATGTATAAGCACAGTATAACTTAATATTGTGTACAGTACAGACTATTGGGCAAGCAACATATTGGATGCTGACTTTGCTGTGTAACTTCTGGTGGAAGGTCTGGCCACCTGCTTGTCCCTTTTCCTGAAATGTTCTGCAGAATGGCATTTGAACTAGCAATAAACCTAAACACAGAATAAATGCAAGATAAAAGAGTTTAATGCCATTCCCTGAAACATTCCAAGCAAAACAATAACAGCCCCTACTAGAAAAGCTACATACTGGGAATTAGAGGCACTGGACTAAAATTAAATTAAGACTTAACTGAGAGACAGGACCTTTTCTGTCAAGCTAAGGATGTGCTCGTCTGCTGTAACTGAGCTAAAGTGTGGTATGCCTCAAGGAAGCACACTGGGACCTGTTCTTTTTAGCCTGTATATGCTTCCCCTATATTTAACAAACACAACATTGATTTTCATGTTGATGATGTACTGAGAGAGATGTCCATGAATGGTTGCTAAATAATCTCAGTTTTAACAAAAATAAAATTTAAATGAATGTTTTTGGGCAATCTAATCTTTTAAATGTTTTTGCTAGGGTTTGTTAACTCCTACGTTAATACATATTCTCTGCATAATAAGTATTGGAACCTGTTTCAAATAGATTTAGATTTCTCAAGACTTGAACTCTTCTCGTGTCAGGTTGTAGCTGCTTGAACCATGGACGGGGACCAGGGGGAACACAGCTGTGAGGGAGTGACACTTAGATCTAATGAGCCCCCTACACATCTGCTCCTCACTCACTCTCACACTAATGAATACACACTATTGTATAATATATAATAATCTAATACAGATGTTTATGAAGACCAATATCTTAACCACACACACATTAACAAAAACCACCATAGTCATGAATGTACTGCCAATTCTGTATGTATCTAAGACGGCTCACATCAAACTAGGGCCTGGCGATACGACAAAAATTGTAATAATAATAATATAATAATAATAATAACAAAAAAAATTGCTGTCAATATACAGTTCTGGAACTTAAAGTTCAAAATGCACTCTTGTGAGCTTTAAGCCATGTTATAATGTAGTTACCTCCTGTTTTATTTACACATGTTTGATTAACCTTTATTATTAGTAGTCTGTCTACATCGAAAGCTCAAAATGCTCTGCTCCACCTTATGATGTCATGTAGTGGTAGTTTTCAGAATGTTTTCTGTTCGA